GATTACCCTTTTTGGGTTATTCGAATAAAGGGAGAGGCCATGGAACATCCCCTGGGGTCTCTCACATTTTTGGAGGACGCAGCCTCCTTTTTATCCCAATTTCCCAGCCACATTTCCCTTCCCTCTTTCCCCATTTCTGAGGTACCTGAGTGGTTCAGACTTCCCAAAACACCAGATATTTCCCTCTAATGCACAACCTTCCCTTTTAATTTTTAATTCTTATGGCATTTAGGGGTTTTTCTTCCTCGTTTGTTTCTTTCATCTTTCAACGTCTAATTTCATTTATCATCAAACCTAAAAGTTTGTTTGTAAAAGCAAATATTTTTTTCCATTCATCGATCAGGGAATCTTCCCATTGTTTCTTTTCTCTCCCAGTGCTGGTTTTATCCACCTGCAGCCCCACAGCTTGTTTGGAAAGACAAATCCAGTGCTCCTGTCAGAAGGGAAGCAGATGAAGCCCAGATTCCCCATTGCACTCAGCAGCCACACTTGAATTTATATGGTTCAGGGGAGCTCCTTTCAGCACAGAAAATATTTCTGCTCTTGTTTCAAGCATCTTTCTGGTGAGGGAAGGGAAAAACAGGCAGGGAGGGGTTGGTTCCTGGTTAAGGAGAACAGGGGCTTGGCTGAAGAAAGAGGATGAGAAAGAACCGAAACCCTCAGCCCCTTCTGAAAACAATTGTGCTCTTGAGAGGAGAAATCCTAAATGCATTATTTTCATCGAGATCTCTCCTCAAACACAAGTGCAGCACATCCTGAGGGGGGTGACCCTGCAGCAGGGACATGGCCTGCCCTAAACCTTACCCCATTCTTGATGGAGCCTTCCTTTATGGACAGGAATGATGGAGAGGAATGGGAATTCTTGGAAAAGATGTTTTTAAAGTTTTTACTTGCAAGGCACCAGGCTCTCTCAGGCTCTGTTCCCCTTTGCCATCTGCTTAATCCAACAAAAAACATTAAAACTGCTGAGGGAAAAAAAAAAAAGAAAAAGAAAAAAATAAGCTTGTTTAAGTCAGATCTGGTGAACAGTAAGTTCACCACATGTTGGAAGAGACTGAAAATACAGATTTCAAATTAAAGATTTAAAAAAACCAAACAGGTGTAAACAGGTTTCAGGTAGGTCACTCTAAATCAGGGATGTTTTTTACTTTTTATATATTATATATATAAAGTCAGATGAGTATTTCTATGAAGGAAAAACTTTGTATTTTCAATTATTTATTGCTAAAATGTGAAGGAGCTCATCAAATTACTACAGTAAATTCACCAGGTTTTGGGAGAGAGTGAAAATACAACTTCTAAATTAAAGATGAAAAAAAAGTGACCTAAAATAAAAATAAACCTTTCAGTAACAGGCATTTTATTCCCAGTACAAGGAGACAGTGACTCCTCGCACCCACTAGGAGTTCTAAATCTGTGCATTCTTGTGATGGTTTTCATACAGTTCCAAAGCATAAAAAGCTCACTTGAGCTGAATTCAAGTAAATCCCCAAAGAGTTTTCATAGTGATCAATCTCACCTCTGAAAAAACTCCCAGCTCTTACTCTCATATATTGTTTTTTACTTTTGTGAGTAGCGATTCCCAAGCCACTTGGAAAGAACCAGACCTTAATGTTTGAATGGCAGGGTGAGTTACATTTCTAAAAGTTAATTATATTTCTGATTATACAGGGATTAAACCCACCAAGGTTTACAGTTGTCAGATGTTGGAGTCCAAAAAAAAAATCAAGTTTTTTTGCTATCTTTATAGGAAAAATATCCTGTTAGACTGCGTTGGGATAACAGATTGAGAACCCAGAACAGAAAGGCACCGCTGCAGCTGCTCAGCCCTAAAGGAGCCACATTGCTGGGAAATTCCCCTTTGTTTATAAGGGATTTTACAGCTCAAGGGTTTATTTCCTGCATCACAGCACAGAGGACTTTTCATCCATCACAGCAGTGATTTCACAGGTCTGGCACCTACAGCAAATTCCCTTTTTACACACAAGCAATGGGGCAGAGAATATAAGCACAGCAGTACTTGAAGAAAATTATATTTAAATACTGTTTTGCTAAGAGATCACATTGATGACCATTTTTTTGATATTGGTAATATTTAGACTAGCAGAGAAAATTAATGCCATATCTGGAAGCTTTGGGATTCTTGTCAAGATGACATTTTCCTCCAATCTCTTGGTAAAAATAACCCATATTTGGGAGATGCTATCACAAGAACAAGACTGGGTTTTGTCATGGAAAAACTGACATTTAGTACAATTTTTACTAGAAAATTCAGCTGCTAAAAGAAGATTTTCATGGAAGTCTGAGCTTACATTTAGAAGGCCAAAACATTCTTTGGATTGTGGCCATCTTCTGTTAACTCTTTTTAATATTCATGGACTATAAGCCAAGTGCTAAAGAGAGTTGTTTAAAAAATGCCAGCCAGTGTCAAAAAAAGTCTGTATTTATCTCCTGATCACTTCAGGTTAAGGCTGAAACTTAAACACTATAAATTTACTTAGGGGAAAAAATGAAGTAAACACAGTGGTGTGTAGAAAATTGTTTAATTAAGTAGCTGTTTATGCTGCTGGAAGGATACTGAAGCTGCACTTCCAAACTGTCCTGGCTGGACTGAGACATTGTCATTTGAGTGGGAACAACAGGCAGCTTTACCAAGTTTTTTCACTTACCTTTTATCAAAAAATATTCCTTGAATATTGGCAGGCATTGAATAGGGACTGTTCCCTTACAGAGAAATAAATGAGTTTTTGAGAGGGAAATTAATCAAACTCCTAGCATGTTTGTACTTTCAACAGCTCAAGGATAATTTAGAGGGAAAAAATCACTATAAAAAATAAGTTTCTTAAGTTCAACAGAGTGAGTAAAGGCCATCTGAACCAAAATCTCACCTTCTGCTTGAATTTAGTCTGAATCAAAATCTCACTTTCTGCTTGAATTTAGTCTGATGAACAAGAATTTTGCTCTTTGCAACTCTAATTTCTCAAAAATCTATCAGCAAGAGACTTGCCAGTTTCTAGAAACTTTCTCCCACTCAGTCAGGGCTTAATAGATTGCACCTGCCCCAAAGAGGCACCAGGCATCCACTTAGCATTTCCCAGTAGATTCCTGCTCCTTGGAAATGCAATACAATAACAAATCATGATTGCTGAGCCTCCCTGTAGGAAAAGCTCTTCGCAGACAGCAAAAATTAAGGAGGCATTTCATGGTGAGGTCAGGGTTTGGAGTTTCCACAAAGCAATCCAAGGTTTAGGGCTGCTTTTTTGTTTTTAAATCTGTTCTTAGTGAACTTTGCTTCAGTGTAATTAAACTGTGCAAACATTAAAGCCCATTTATTCATTATTATTGCTTTCTTCTGCTGGGTTAGAGATAAGGAATGACATCAGTAGCTCCTGAAGAAAGGGCACCTTAACCTGCTTTGGATCAGGAGCTCCCCTGATCAATTCTGCACGTTGCTTCCTCAATCCTGCCCTCAGCTGTGCCAGGAGAAGGTTTGGGAAGCAGTGAACACAGTAATACACTGTATATATTCATATACAGTGAATACAGTAATACCATTTTCTGTATTCTGCTGGTTTATTCACAGAATCCCAGAATTGTCAGGGCTGGAAGGATCTCCGGAGATCATCCAGCCCAGGCCCAAAGGCAGTTCAGCTGTTCCATACACAGCCAAGGAGAGCTGGCTAACCAGGCAGATTTCTTTGCTGGTATTTTTTCCAGCTGAAGACTGAGTTAAAGTTGCCTTTTCTCCCTTTATTTTGCCATGAATTTAAATGGAAGTACATGGGGGTGAAGATCAGTCATTCCAGCTTCTTTCATCAGCTCCTTGCCTTGGCCATGCCCTGCACTTAAACACACCTGAAGCGCTGGAGACAAAGACACAAACTGGGATGTAACCACTTTCCAGACATGCTGGTTTAATTTACATGGAATCATTCCTGTCCTCAGC